CCCCCCCCCCCACCGCCTGTCTTCACATCACGCATTGATCAGTGTCATGAAGTCATGTATGATCCAACGACCACCACGGCGTCCAGCAGTGGATTGCCAAAAGGGCTGAACAGTACATGTACGAACATGCTGTGTAATGTAATATCAGCAAGCACCCACAGTACATACATGTCTTATACAATAATTCGATATTTTTTAGTAGTAGCATTCAGTTTACTATCAGTTTATTACTTTAAATATTATGCTGTGGGAGATATAATTAACAATTTACTGGTAAAGTTATTTGAATTAACACAGCTCACAATAGTAGTGTAGTTCATCACTGACAATATTCAAACTGCATGTACTCACTATCAGGCCTGTTTGAACAACTTGCAATGTGCATGTATGGTAACTACAATATAGAAAGTATTGTATGTAGTTCGTAATTATCTTCCCAATATAGTTGAGTAATAGACACACATCACTTAAAATGTGCTGGAACGGTGTACATAAATGTATTTATATACAACTTTACCTACATCTCTATTTATAATTGGTGTTGAAATGTAACAGTAGTCAAATTTGACATTAATGCTCACATAAACATCTCTGAAATAGTATTTTAAATCGCGAGCTTTTACGATTCTGGTATAATTGACAGATGTGGAGATGTACCACGAATATTTGGTCTCCAAAATGCATGACTACAAGCCGCACATGTCCACTGCTTGCAGGATATACTTGACTCAGGTTTTATGAAAATATTTTGTGAAGGTTGACGGTGACGCAAGTTTGGATATGTCATGCAGTCAAGCCAGTATTCTTAATTGTATTGTGCAACCTGCATTCGTCATGGACTGGTTTGTGCGTGGCTTTATTAAGTATGTTGAACTCCTTTCGCACCGTACGTAGCCAACCGTGTTTATTGGAGGTGCAGAGGGAAGAACAAAGTTGAGAGATACCCTGACATGTATTTGAACGAATGGCACCTTTCTCTGTTGCTTTGACATCTTAACTTTCTAGAAGAAGGTCGCGTGGGCTCTCTGGAATTAAGGGGAGGGTGGCAATCGGCAATCTGCTCCCAGGAGTCTCGTTTGGAAATGTGGGACCACGTGCTGCACCACGGAACAAAATTAGTGATTATTCGCCTGATCACTGGAATGTACTCAAAACAAGACATTGTTGCTTATGATCACTCTTATGGAACATTGTGTACCTCATTGAGGAGTAATGTAAAGGTGCAGCCCTGCAATATCTTGCTCATGCCACTGGGGGAGGAGAGAACTCCACTGGAGAGGGAGGTATAGAGAACGCCTCGAGATGGTATTTGGCTACATTCCAAGCTGACCAGACGTCGTGGAAGACGTAGCAGTACCCCACACTTTATACCACTACATCTGCCGATCAACTGCTGCGAACCCATTTATACTGCTCGGCGGACAGAGAAGAGGGCTTTTAGAAACTTGCCCAATGTTTCAACTACAACGCCGGAAAATCAAATCGATCCAGCCATCTCTGAATTGCCAAGTCCGGTGTGCTAATCATTACCCCACAGCAGCATCTCTCATGAGGGATGGATGCTTTGGGTACATCATAAACCTAAATTTTTCTTACGATCTCTCCTGGCTTTATTTAAATGCCTGACAATCCAATATCCACAATGAATAGTCCTCCCCACCTCCCCCGCCCGATATTTACCAACCAGCCTGGTGAAGTATGGTCAAATAACTGCACGGCTAAAGAGAAGACTTTCATCCATGGCTAATGATGATGTACAACACTGGAACCACGGTGACATCTCGCACTCTAACTCCATTCCGTTTATAGAGAGAAGTCCGCTCCTTGTCTTTTTGGTGAGCCCCCGCACCCCCATACTCTTTTATCGCTACTACCATGGTTAGTAGTGATAAAGATAAAAGAGAACTGACAAAAAATGTCCCATTTTGTACCATGGTTATTGTTTCCGTGAACTTCACGCTCTGATTCCTACACGGATGCTCAGACTGGCTGGTTTTTGTCGTCGTGTACGATGTTCCACCACCACACTTAGAGTCACAACAACACGCTCACTCACTCACCACACAGCAAGTCATTACAGTTGTGCTTCTTCCTTGCAACCCCCCACCTCCATAGTTTTTTTTAAACAAAAGTCCTTGTGATCTTGTTCAATTCAATAAACGTGCTAATTCTTATCTACTTTGGTGCTATTTGTCGCTGGCCGCTTGGCGCTTAGGGCCGGTGTGAGAACACCACGACCGCTCAACGTGGTGAAGTATGGTCAGGTGACCCCCAATGTCCAGACGACTTGGGGAGGCCCAGTGAATTCACCATAACGATGGTGATGTCTATTTTTGACAACACTGAAATCACACAGCAAACACCCCCAGACTGTTGGGGCAAGTGCTGTTAGCGAGCACCTCTATGAAGGCAAACGAGGGGGTGGGTGGCTAGCACCGGCTTCGTCTACCCAGGGGTGCACACACCCCACCAGGTACTTATTTGAGGCTGAGTCGACCAAGGGGAAGCCCATGATCGGTTCAGATATTCGTCACTGGTGACGGTGGCCGTGAGCGTTAATCGAATTCGGGCCGTCGGGTTCCTAGCGCAGCGGCGCTGACCGCTCCGCCACCGCTCCTCACCCCTCCACTCACCACCCCACCCCTCCGCCCCCTCTACCCCCCTCCACTCACCACCCAACCCCTCCGCCCATCTACCCCCCCCTCCACTCACCACCCCACCTTTCTACCCCCCCTCCACTCACCACCCCCCCCACTCACCACCCCACCCCTCTACCCCCCCCTCCACTCACCACCCCTCCGCCCCCTCTACCCCCCCCTCCACTCACCACACCACCCCTCTACCCCCCCTCCACTCACCACCCCCCACTCACCACCCCCCCACTCACCACCCCACCCCTCTACCCCCCCCTCCACTCACCACCCCACCCCTTCGACCCCTCTACCCCCCTCCACTCACCACCCCACCCCTCCGCCCCCTCTACCCCCCCTCCACCCCTCTACCCCCCCTCCACTCACCACCCCCCCAACTCACCACCCCACCCCTCTACCCCCCCCACTCACCACCCCCCCCACTCACCACCCCACCCCTCTACCCCCCCCTCCACTCACCCCCCCCCCCACTCACCACCCCACCCCTCTACCCCCCCCCCACTCACCACCCCCCCACTCACCACCCCACCCCTCTACCCCCCCTCCACTCACCACCCCACCCCTCTACCCCCCCTCCACTCACCACCCCACCCCTCTACCCCCCCCTCCACTCACCCCCCCTCCACTCACCACCCCACCCCTCCGCCCCCTCACCCCCCCCCTCCACTCACCCCCCTCCACTCACCACCCCACCCCTCCGCCCCCCCCCCCCCCTCCACTCACCACCCCACCCCCCCTCTACCCCCCCCCTCCACTCACCCCCCCCCCACTCACCACCCCACCCCTCTACACCCCCTCCACTCACCACCCCACCCCTCTACCCCCCCCTCCACTCACCACCCCACCCCTTCGCCCCCTCTACCACCCCCCCCACTCACCACCCCACCCCTCCGCCCCCTCACCCCCCCCTCCACTCACCACCCCTCCGCCCAATCCACCCCCCCCTCCACTCACCACCCCACCCCTCTACCCCCCTCCACTCACCACCCCACCACTTCGCCCCCTCCACTCATCACCCCACCCCTCCGCCCCCTCACCCCCCCTCCACTCACCACCCCCCCCCCTCTACCCCCCCCCTCCACTCACCCCCCCCACTCACCACCCCACCCCTCTACCCCCCCCCCCTCCACTCACCCCCCCCCCCCACTCACCACCACCCCACCCCTCTACCCCCCCCCCCCCACTCACCACCGCCCCCCCCACTCACCACCCCACCCCTTCACACCCTCTAACCCCCCCCTTCACTCACCACCCCACCCCTCCGCCCCCTCACCCCCCCCTCCACTCACCACCCCCCCCACTCACCACCCCACCCCTCTACCCCCCCTCCACTCACCCCCCCCCACTCACCACTCCACCCCTCTACCCCCCCACTCACCACCGCCCCCCCCCCACTCACCACCCCACCCCTTCACACCCTCTACCTCCCCCTCCACTCACCACCCCACCCCTCCGCCCCCTCTACCCCCCACTCACCACCCCTCCCCTCCGCCCTCTCTACCCTCACCACCCCACCCCTTCGCCCCCTCTACCCCCCCCCTCCACTCACCACCCCACCCCTCCGCCCCCTCACCCCCCCCTCCACTCACCACCCCTCTACCCCCCCCTCCACTCACCACCCCCCCCCCCCACTCACCACCCCACCCCTCTACCCCCCCCTCCACTCACCACCCCCCCACTCACCACCCCACCCCTCTACCCCCCCCCATTCACCACCCCCCCCCACTCACCACCCCACCCCTTCACCCCCTCTACCTCCCCCCCCACTCACCACCCCACCCCTCTACCCCCCCCCCATTCACCACCCCCCCCCCCCACTCACCACCCCTCTACCCCCCCCATTCACCCCCCCACTCACCACCCCACCCCTTCACCTCCTCTACCTCCCCCGCCACTCACCACCCCACCCATCCACCCCCCCCCCCCCATTCACCCCCCCCCCACTCACCACCCCACCCCTCTACCCCCCCCCCATTCACCCCCCCCCCACTCACCACCCCGCCACTCACCACCCCACCCATCCACCCCCCCCATTCACCCCCCCACTCACCACCCCGCCAGGCGACCGGCCCACGTGCCCCTCTCGCCCCCCCCCCCTCCCACAGTGGGATGGCGATTGTAATCGGTAGCGCGCATAAGCGAGGCGATTGTAATTGGTAGCGCGCATCAGAGGCGAGACGATTGCAATCGGTAGCGCGTATAAGCGAGGCGATTGTAATTGGTAGCGCGCATCAGAGGCGAGACGATTGTAATCGGTAGCGCGCATAAGCGACGCGATTGTAATTGGTAACGCGCATCAGAGGCGAGACGATTGTAATCGGTAGCGCGTATAAGCGAGGCGATTGTAATTGGTAGCGCGCACGGGGCCGCGACTCAAAATGGCTTCTCGGCGGTGCGCGCAGCTGAGTGCGGCGGAGGCGGCGGTGCGTCTCGCCGCCCAGTGACTCGCGGCTCTCCTCCTTCTTGCCACCCTTTGTTTATTTTCGCATTCGTGCACGCCGAGACACACACAGAGAGGGAGAGAGACCGCTCGGAGCCGCTATAATAAGAGAATAGTGAGTACGGTGTCTGGCTATTGGGGTGGGCGACGGGGTCGCGTTTGTCGTTGTCACTCCCCCCCCAACACACCCCCTTGTGCAGTGCGGATTAATTAACATATTTAACGTTATAATTACGAATTTTTTTTAGGTGTCGTGTAACCATTCTTGTTCTTTCTCGTGGCGTTTTGCTTGGTGGCTCAATACATCATCCATAGTCCAGTGCCCGTTTCTGTGGATATCAATAGAGTGCTACTTACAGCAATCATCGCAATTGTTAATACCATTGCTACTTGCTGCACCGATTGCACGCGGTGTCTTATTAACAGCATAATTGCCTCTGGTTAATCATTACAATAAGTACAAAGTGATGCTGTAATGGTCACACGTGTGCGATAAATGGCTCAATGAACGACGTCATCGCTTTCGGATGATCGGGGAGCGCCTCGCAGTATCTATTTTACTCAAGTATACACCACACACCGTGTACATACACTGCACCACAGACACACAGGAAGGAAGGACATTGAATACGAGGCATTGCATTCTAGGCACGGCCTCGTAAGCCATGCATTGGGGAGGGCATCTCGGCGCGGGACCCCGGGCCCTGCCATCTCTGCCTGCCTCGCCCTGCCCGGCTGCCCTGCCCTGACTGCCCTGCCCTGACTGCCCTATCCGAGCGATGGATGTGCAAGACTGCTCGAGCTTTGGGGTTGGGGTCGGGATGAAAGACGTGGACGTGTGTCCGCCGGCAGTCGGGACCACCTGCCCGGCCGGATTGGACCTCATGAATGGGTCTGCGTGCGCCCTGGTGAAGAGCGGAGAGGAGGGGGACGAGGAGGATGAGGATGATGACGACGAGGAGGAGGAGGATGATGATGAGGAAGACCAGCAGGATGAAGTTGGATCGGCCAGGGTGAGTGGCACCCACAAGGACAGCGAGAGCTTCGTGTCCGAGGACTCTGGAGTGACGCACATGGAGGGATCCCACGCCAACAGCAGGGACGTGGAGAGAATGGTCATGGCCATGATGATGGCCGATGGCTTGCAGGCGGCGTTCTCCATGAACGGTGCCTGCGGCGGCGCTGGTGGTGGTGCCGCTGGTGGTGTTGGCTGTTGTGGTGGTGGTGGTGTTGGTGGTGGTTGTGAGCCAGGCCTCTCGGCGGATAGGCTGCCCAGCAAGAAGAGCAGCCGGAGTCTTCCGCCAGGACTGTCGGCCTCGGCCGCCCTGAGGACAGGCGAGCGGGCCCGTAAGTCGGCCACGTTCCCCCGCGGCGCCTACGAGCCAGGGTCTGGCCCCGTGGGCCACATGGCCCAGGGCGAGTTGGAGATGGACGAGGCGGACACGGTGTCTCGCTCCAGTCTCTCCAGCCTCAGCTCGGATCTGTCGGCAGGTGTGGGAGGCTCAGCCGGAGCTGTGGCAGGTTCTGACGAGCAGAATCGACAGCAGTGTCAGAGTGCTGCGGACAAAGAACGCACAAGCAGCGAGGCATCGGATGCTCCACATCGCGATGACGACCCCGACCTTCAAGATGACCCCAAGTGCCATCAGGATGAGCTGTGCGAAGATGAAAAGCCGAAACGCATCGGGCTGGCCACGTACATTACGAGGTGGGTTGTCCTATTGCACGCACGCCAGTGCATTTTGTTTTTCATAAAGAGGCAACGCCGTCGACATGTAAGCCGGAGCTCAGCAAGGACTTCACCTGGGGTAGGTTGGGAGGGAGAGCGTTTTCAGTAAAAGTAATGCAATGTCAATAATTTGACGTGGCATTTATAGTTGTACAAAAAATGAAACCCATTAGATAATATTTTTTACTGCAAATCATATAATTTTGACGATTCGCATAAAGCCACTAACCAGGATTCTTATTGTAGTATGATGGTAAACGCGTGACATTACATTGATATAATTTGCAAAATGTTACTATAAAATGGAGATGTACCTTTCACAATGGGTCGTTGGCGTGCTGAGCTGAAAATGTACACCTTGGGCTACAGGTATGACAACATGGGTTTTTTTTACCATGGCACTGCACTTTAAAAGCCTTGGTGGCGTGCCAAATATCCCATTACATCGTCTGTAAGATACAGTATAGCCAGAAGACCAGAACAGTACACCCAATAACCAAATGAGCTGTGAATAATGCTGTCATGACCACATTGGCTGGGTGCTGGCCTGGAAATAATACATTAACACGAATACATGTTTACCTTAAACTTTCGTGAATTCATATTCTTTGGTTCTTTTGGTAAAGTCAAGTAGATAGAAAAATAATCACAAAAAATTAAGTGAATAAAAATAGAATAAAAATCTACAAAAAACCCACTAATACAGACTATCCTGGTTCTTAATGTAATAACCAGGCTACAGTCTACATTATAGACTGCCAGTACACTCCGATTAAGAACCAGGCTACAGTCTACATTAGTGTTTTTTTATTATTATTTAATTCTTTTTACTTTATTATTTTTCTATCTACGAGACTTTACCGAAAGAACCAAAGAATATTAACACGAATACTTTAAAAGTATTGATCGTTTGATGCGCCTGTGCCTGCAAACAATAGGATGTCAAGTAAGATCGCATTGCCTCAATGTAGCGTGTGTATTTAATTTAAAGACGGCATCTACAGTCGTCTCATGCGTGGATATAGTTATGCCGTGGAACACCTATAACTATGCCCATATTTGTTTTATTTAAATGGCCATATACAGTCTCATATTGGTGATAATTAACCGTGGAAAACAATTCTACTTTTTAACGTTGGATTCGCAGAACCTTATTTTACAGTATGCAGAGGGAACCAGCTTATTGAATCCAAGAGGAAAAACATGTCTGATTTAAACCACATGCCAAGAAGAATGTTTTGGCCCTCCTTGGATCTTGGCAGCAAATTACCGAGAGCTGGAATGCGGCCATTTGCCGTTGGTAAACAAGTTGGTTTCAGCATAACTGAAATACAGGAATCGTTTCCTATAAAGTTGTGTGCACTGCATTGATAAATCATAGCATTTAGAAAAATATATAATTTTGCACGTGATTTTATTTTTAAACCACGCTTCATTCATGTGTACAGTATTAATGAAATCAAGCTTTATGAAGAGCCATTCACAAGTTACAAAAACGTTCTTATACATTTACTGCGTATACGCTTTAGTTAAGCGAAATACATATATGTTTTATAGCATTTCCATATATATGTTTCAATCAAATACACATGCGCATTAAGTGGAAAATGGTACACCTGCGGATGTGATTTAATTCTAGATAAATTCTCACAGTACGTGCCCAATCTCATATCTTGGAAGCTAAGCGGGTTTAAGCCTGGAATATGCCTGGGTATTGCTGGGACGGGCAACGATCATGCGTTAAATAATGTTTGTAGGTTGTTGTAGGTTGCCGCGGGGGGCTATGTTGTCAGAGAGCAGTGCAGCCAAATCCATTGGACTGTGATTCAATGCTTCTTCATCTGGGGTCTCCATCTTTACCAAATCACACTGAGCGGCATGGTCAAGTATAATCGAAATGACTTCCACAGTCCGCATGTCTTGGGGAGGCCCACATCCAGCAGTGGATTGGCAAAATTATGTATGTCTACATATTACCAATATGCCCTTAGTTTAAGAGCACTCAGAATCTTTGACACGGTTAAGGAAGAACATCAGTTACATTTAGAAACACTTTTTTATGAGCTGAGCTCTATTCCTTGAAAGGGACATGTTTGTTTTGAGATAAGAAAAAATGACAAGTGTCGAACACTGCACTTCTTGGAAAATTGATTTAATGTACTACTGAAAAGTAACGAAAGCACATTATACATATGCCGTGTGTTCAGCTTACAGCAGCCATACCTTGTAAAAGTTGACGTAGTCAACCGGTGTGGTCAATCTGGACTAAGCAGATGAGCAAGCAAATGGAGAAATGAGATGGAAACTGTCGATATTGGTCTAAAATATGGAAAGGTGTTAGCGTCAACATACTGAAGTGCATATACAGTACAGTAGACTAACCTAATTCTGTATAGAGTAACAGTTGAAGTGGTGGCAAAGCTACAGCCAACACCGGTGACGAAGTGAATGCTTTACCAGTCCTGTCTCTCCCCTTCACAAACTGACACAGGCCAGCATGGTGAGGGAAGGCCTTCATTACGCATTGGATCGAAATTATATTTTAACAGTAAAATAGCTTCGTGTCCAGTGCAGCTCCAATGTTGTTTTGTCCATAATGGAAATAGTGGAAATTCCATGTTTAAAAACGGTGAAAAGGAATCCAATTGCAACGGTGATTTTGTGTTGTTTATCAGCAAAACGTTGTTATCATGTAATCCTCTCAGACTTAATTAAAACACAGTTTGAGCCCGCACGAAATCTCAACATTTATTTAAAGCTTAAGCATAGCAGTACATCGTAGGCATACGTATACATTAGCAATTCGCAAGGGAATTCAATTAGTGACCTACAGGATATAAATGCGTAAAAAAGCCAGGTCTGGGAAATCCCACGACATAGTATTAATAGACCATTTAATGCCTGTGGAGCCATAATACTACAACACCTCCATAACATACAGACGAGATGAACAGAAGCACATACCTGCCAACCCCTTATCAGTGCCTACCATATTACAGACTAATTCTGACCTTATTGGTCACCCCGTGCCTTTATAAATCTCAACGTTCGTCCTACAAAGTCCCATCACAAGGGAGAAACGTAAATAGACAAAAAATGCCCGTATTGAAACTGCTGTATGCCATATGGACCCGAACTCAATTTCCCTGTACAAGAATACGGGTAAACCACATGGGTTGACAGGTATGGAAGCAGCATGCAATGGGAATAATTAATTGTATTGAAGGCTGCTGCTACTACATCCACTTGACCTGGCAGTGGTGCATATTTTTATTCTGTTTCATGGATTCCCTGATATTGGATAATACTCTTAAAGGTGAAAAATCAGTCACTATATTGTTCAAACAACAAATGAAGTAATTACTTTCCTGTGGGTTTGATTACATTGTGTTTGAATAATGCATCGAGAATCCTGGAAAAAGTATAGAAAGACTTGGAAATTAAATACCATCTTCAAATATGTCATTAATCAAGTATTCTTTTTTACCAGGCTCTTTCATAACCATAAATGAAAAATCAGTGATGGGGTAAACCAATGAATATTTTGGAGGCCATTGCTGTCTGTAAACATCATAGCAGAGTTTAAAATGTTTGATAATACAGATAGCAGGGATCAGGAATCACAACTTGTTGTAGGTAATAACACCAAATATTGCTTTAAAATACTGAGGATGTGTGTATTCAAGGGATGTATATGGAAATACACTGCATTCATTATAAACTAATTTCAATCAATCAAAAAGATGATTAAAAAAGGGTTGATCCATCAATGAAACTGAATGCGTAGAATAACTGAGGCTACACAAGGCTTGAAGCAATGTTGCCATTTGGAAGTTTCTCGTACAGAAACTGTCCAAAGATCTATGCATATACAGTACGTATTAAAATACATGTCTAAGCTGAGCCCAAGACGTTTAAATAATGGACAAATAGACACGCCGGCTGTTTTCCAGCTGCTCTAGGATTTGTCATTGGGTTAAAAGTTGTTCATAAGTGCAAAAACGGACATTCCAAGCAATGCTAAACTGTTTCTGAACGAAACTTGATATGTGGGAAATAAACAGCCCCATTCAAAACACTGTCGGCTTAAGTGTTTCTTTTGGGATGAAAATTATAAGTTATTTGAACAAAACCTTGAATTAAATGCCAGACAAATGTGGAATTTCTCAAAAACCTCTTAAGCTGATAATGTACTGTGTTTATGTAACTTTAATTATACTGTACCATTCATTTGGTGCAGAGCACATCAGGTTATCTGAACAAAGTTGTCGCATTGCTCAATTAAGCACAGGTGTCAGAACATTATCCCCCCCTGGAAAACTGGCTTAATTGAAGAAATTTGGACAATATATAACTTTGAAGCGTTTTAATTTGATACCTCCTGGATATAAAAATGTGACTTGCATATATTGCCAGTCAAGCTGTTACAATTTGAATGGCCCACTATTACAATACTATACAATGTACAGTAATCTAATAATAAAGTAGAGTTGGTGTGTTTTTTTAGCTCTCGTTTTTCTTACAAAGGCCCCGTTTCTATTTTAATCCCAGACCTTGAGAAATGTGGGTGAGCATGAAGAATTTCAAAAACCTGCTTAAATCTGGTTAATTTTGGTCACAATTTTCATGACAAACGTCTTTTTAAAAGACGCATACTTGTTTGGCAGGCTTTTCTGGTTTACAAAGCAAATGGGGTGGTTCACAGCTTCCTGGTTTTGAAAGCGATTGGCTAACTCACCAGACCAGGAAACAACCCTTTGTGAGTCTTCATCCTCCCACTCTGCTTCTCCACCCCTGGATGCTGGAGTATGACGATACAGTACTGTAACATATTTACTCTTGTGTATTCAAGTTATTAAATATGTACAGAAATAGGCAACGTAAATCTTTCGCCATTCCACAGTAACGTTCTCAGAGAGCCGGCATACTTTGCTAGGGTTTGGCTGTTTGCTTGTGCCAGTGAGTCAGCTACCATGTTTCAAAGTTCCAAGTCTGGCCTCGGAGATTTTTGTGTGCGTCGTAGGCCGCAGTGCTGTGTGTTCTAAGCATGTGGCATGGCTCTGTCTTCTTCACTTCTCATTTATGAAGGGTAAGTTAATTTCGAGAATAAGTATTGTGTGAATTAACGTTTGTTAACGTGTCTTATTAATGTGTTGAAATCTCAGTATGGATTAATACAATGTATTTGTTCATTACACTAACAGTAACTTAAAATTGTATTTATTACTCATACGTAATTGATTACACGAACGTGTCTTGTTTTTAACTGTCGGCATTTTAAAATGCAGTCCCATAAAAACTTTGCTTTCAATTATTTTTTTAAATGAATACCGTATTTTCAAAGGGATGTTATTGTTGAGGCATACGTCAAGTAAACCATAATACACGTGATTACTGTCCGATATAACTGGTGGAATCCAGATCTGCTTTGGAAATGGAATAATTCATTTCAAGGGTTTCTCACTAGTTAATAAGGCATCTTCGACTTTAAACCAATTATTAAATGTTGCTCTGTCTTGATTGACGTTTTAATTTAAGTTTTCATAAATGGGAAACACATTTAAATGTGTTTTAGGAATCAGGTTAATCTGGTTCTTGCAATAATTTATTAGATTCCCTTTTAAAAATGGTTGCAAACATTGCTTCACTCCACTATTGTGTGACATGTTTATACAGCCGTGGACTCTTGTGTCTGTAAGAAGATAATGTGTTGTAAAAACTGCATGCAAATAAAACGGTCACTGTCAAATTCAAACATATGTGCTCATTTCAGTCTCTTCAAGTTTATCGTTGGGACTCGGGCATACAGATGTTGTAGAATGTGCCATTTTGTTAAGTGAAGCCTATGGTGTCCCTTTAAATGTGTTACGACATACTGCACTTAGCATATTTGCCTTGAAGCCGGCGTTTTAAATAAAAACAGTGGTACGTGAACAGCTGAAATGTCCCACATTTATACAAGACAACAGTTAACTCCTTTTTAAAAAAAATTGTCACCACGGTGATAACACATCTTATGGGAATTTACTATTGTGTCAAGTGTAAGAATTCACTGGGAACAAAGTGTACCAGGGCCTCCCACAGATTATTACCTGGTCATTAGGCAATCTACAGTGCGTGGGATGCATTTCTGAGCTGGGGCACAGTCCTCTGTAACAGAGTTGTCTTGCAAAAGTAAACCGTTTACGTTTTGCTGAGAATTCTACACAATGCATGAATAAACAAAAATTAAGCATGTATCACTTGTGGAATAAGTGGCATTTATTGTTAGTTTAGTGTAAGAATATGGGTTCTTTTAAACGAAAAAGAATTGTGTTTTAAAGTTGCAATTAAGCAGTATATTTGTCAACTAAATTAGATCCATTGTTTTAGGCGTTCATACTGGTTTTGAGTATAGCAGTTGGGTTATATTGAGAACTTACAGAAAAGTGATTAAAATGTTTATTCATGACCATCCACTGCTTGCAGAAACATACTTACGTGGAGGAACAAGGACTGCAGAGTGAGTGTTCCAAGTCCACCTGGCTGGAAGCTGTTTGGAAGGGTCCCACCAAAAGAAAGTCCACAGAAAGACCCTAAGAAAATTCAACAGGTACAACATAAGTCCTGAATGGATTCTGAAATGTTTTCCAATATGGGTTTTGATTCCTTACCCGTACCCGGCCGCACCAGGGTCGCAAACGGTTACCCGTACCCTACCCGATACCCGGCTACCCGTACCCGGCCGGGTATCGGGTAGGGTACGGGTACCCGATTGCGACCTCTGGGATGAAGCCATGTTGCAGGCGCGGGTGGGTTGATTTTAGGCACTTGAATTGTGAGAAGAGACAAGACGTTGGGAAATGAGTGACAAACGGTGACTCACCAGTGACTCACGGCCTACCCGTACCCGGCAGCACCAGGGTCGCAAACGTGTACCCGTACCCGGCCGGGTACGGGTAGCCGGGTATCGGGTAGGGTACGGGTATCGGGTACCCGATTGCGACCTCTGATTCGCGGTAATGACCATAGGTTTCGAGCCGCATAGTGAACTGACGTCATTGGCTTGGGCGCCAAGGATAATTTGCTTAGCGTTGGTTATCGCCAAGTTTTGGGCATGTCTTTGATACATTTGGCCAGTTTTCTATTAAGTCTCTAATAGCAACATAACTTTAATAAAAACATGTTTATATTTGATCATGTTTACAGTCATTTTACCTCTGACTACAGGCAGACGTAAAGCTAATGCATTAAAACTTTTAATGTTAGTTTGAAAACTTTACGCATGTTGAACTTCTTTTGCACGAGAAAACTATTGTTAAAAATAACATGTTTAATATGTACACATTACATAAAGGAAGGAATGTATAACAGTGATAAAAACATTATTTTGCAGAACTATATTAAACGCTTTGCTTCCTGGTATTGTATTCTTTGTTGCGTTGTGACGCATCGACTGGGAAGTACTGTTCTCTTATTCCTGCTGATCGTCAGCGGACAGCTGTGCAGCTTGCAAGTGCAAGCATTCCCACATACTGTGCATTCTTAAAGTTTCATTTTGCACAAATGTAAAAATACGTCTCCATGTATATATATTTTACTCCTACTAACCATTTACATGTAGCTGGAATTTGTCATATGCCCACCTGCCATATAGTATTTTATTCTGTAGCATTTGATTTATCTTTCAGCAATAAAAATGCATGTTTCTTAAAATAACTTCCATTATATGCCTCCAACTTTTGCTGTTGCTCTTGCTAGTGTGCAGTATAAGTTGAATTCTATTGTGGTTAAAGCAGATGAAACAGTCTTAATTATTTAAATTATTTTACCGGTACCTTAATTTCCTGATTTATTGTACTAAAACAATATATTTTAACTATTTTATTATTGTATTGTTTCCCTTCTACATGACTTTACCGAAAGAACCAAGAATATGAATCCCTGCAGTCATGAAAGCTTTAAATCAAAATCTATTTCAAGGCTTGGAATTTTAAAAAAAAACACACACCTTTTCCAGCATTTGTTTAAAGTTAAATACTGAACCATTCTGTGAAGTGCTTGTGGCAAGCTTTGGAGTATTCGGTTTATCCAATAGTTTGACTCAGTTTCCTGTTATTGCCACAGAGAACATGTGATGGTGTGCCAACAGGAAGGGGGGAAAAGGAGGCTTATTATGTAGTGACTATATGGCGACTGAGGAATGGAAATCTTATGAACGTTCATTTAAGCCTTTGGCACCAAGTCAAATTTTTAGGGTGAATGCTCATTGTTCGGGACGTTCAGTTTTCCACTGCGCTTGTTTTACAAGCGGACCGCTTCTACCGTGGAAAAAATTATGAGAACCTCGGGCCTCACCAAATACATCTGACATGCATGATTTATGCCCAGGGTCACATGACAGGTTGGGTGGCAGCAATGCCTTTGTTGTAAACAATGAACTTGTTTTGAGACGCATTCTCTCAAGTTGTGCACATGCGAGAACAAGAAATAATTTGTTAAGAGTGTTTAAAATATATATCGCCAAGTTTTTAAGTTATTTCGTAAAATAAACACGTGCATCTTACCGAGGTGAGCAGTGTTCATTTGTCATCTTCAACAGCTTCACCAGAGTGCAAGCTAGATTTGTTGTTTTGTCATCCTTTTTAACGGGTTCCCCACATGTGCTGTAGGAATACGAAGCTAGGATAGCGAAAAGCGAGAAGGCGGCCACTGGCCAGACACCATCAAGAAAGGACCTGGACTTTGAACCCCTTTCCACCACAGCCCTCATTCTGGAGCAGCGGCCAGCGTAAGTGGCATTTTCACACTTTATGGTTAAAACCACTATGAGCTGGGCTAACAGAAATCACATCTGTGGCACTTTTTTGTAAATTGAGAAACCACAGACATTGTGACTTCATGTTCAAATCCTCATCACCATTTCAAGCCTAAAGCGGGCGGTAGATTTTGTATTATACGTACGTTGCATAATCCGTTTGCGTGTGGCTGTGAAGGCACCTACCTGCTAAGCCTGTCGAAGAGATGCAGAGACACCAGGAACTTTACGCTGAGATGGTTTCCCAGGCTAAAAAGCGAGGTAACAATAACTATCATCTTCATAATATAAACCATCCTCTAAACACATGACAATGATGTATTTGTGAATCTGTATTGGTACTGAGAACAGCCTATAGCAGATTATGATCGTAAGAGGTACACCGTTTTAAAAGTGACAATGCACAAGTGAATAGGACTTTTGTCAAAAATAAAATCTCAAACATTTTCCCAGCCTACCCCTCAAGTGGTTGTTTGTTTATAGAAGCACGAGAGGCACAGCGGCAGAAGCAACTGATGCAGGAGCGCTGTAAAAAGGAAGACTCGATCATCAGTACCCTGGCTGTGTGGAACACTGAGATTCTGCCAAACTGGGAACAAACGTGAGTACAGCCACTCGGGTGCAGTTAATGCTACTCAAGCATTTTGTTTTTATTCTCTACGGATTACTGCAGTTTCCTCCCACGCCTCCTAAATAGCACGGTTGGCTACGTATGGTGCGAAAGAACATACTAACATTGTGAGACAATCCCAACTATTTGAACTAGACAAATGTATGCAACACATTAATTATCTTTGACTTGTAATGATTGCAACGTTGTTGGAAAGTATTAATATGCAACCTAAGTAAATTAAGCTTTTGATTTGTTGTTTCATAAGTTTACTTTCAGCACATTTATTTCTCTTTAATATTTACCCTTGTGATACATTTTGAAAACAGGTGTAATTCGAGAAAAGTACGGGATTTATGGTGGCAAGGCATCCCTCCCAGTATCCGGGGGAAAATTTGGAGTTTGGCTATTGGCAATGAGCTCAACATCACACCTGGTAAGCTGCTTCTACCATCCATCATTTTCATCATTAATTACAAATACCAATGCATCTGTAGAGTGTGGAATATGGTGTAATTTGGTTATTAATTTGTATTGAATGTGGTGTTTACAATAAGAGTCTAGCAATACATGCTGCTTTTACATTTTTGTTTCAGAATTGTACGAAATCTTTCTGTCTCGGGCAAAAGAGAAGTGGAGGAGCTATAGCGACTCCGGTTCAGATTCTGAGAATGGAGGTTAGTGTCAACTGTCATTGATGTCCATTAGCTGTGAACCTCAAGCAGAATCGTCATTATAAGCCATGGAAATAACACCTGTCAACCTCTTGGCTGTCATTTCCCAGATGTTGGGTGTAATGGGGCTGACCGAGAAAGCAGCCTTGAGCTGATAAGTCTGGACATATCTAGAACTTTCCCATCTCTGTGTATCTTCCAGAAGGTTTGTGACATCGCACACATTTTTCCCAAGGGATATAATGTCACGACAATCTAATTTCGTGTTTTTTTTATCATATTCAACTTTACACTTTTGTATGTGCTTTGCTTTATATATCCATTAATTTTATGTGAACCTTTTTAAAAAGTTTGCTTTGTTGTTTTCAGCGAGGACCTTACCATGACATCCTGCAGAGCGTGCTTGGGGCCTACACATGCTATCGTCCAGATGTTGGCTATGTACGTCTGCATAAATACACCTTCAAATACATGTGAAATTTTAATTTGCCTCGCTTGACATGAAAATAACCCCCATCACTTGGAAATTATTTTTATATCCAAGAAACTCCTCAAATTAATATTGTCTTTTACATGTTGATAAATAAGTAATGGCCACATGTTTTTCAATTTGTTATACCTAATGAGAGTTTTAACAGTTGGGCGCAGCCTACCTTGGCATCGGGGTAGTGATTGGATTTGCCCGTGTACCAACAGGTGCAAGGCATGTCGTTCCTGGCAGCCGTACTGTTGCTCAACCTCGACGTGGCAGATGCATTCATCACCTTCGCCAACCTCCTCAACAAGCCCTGCCAGATGGCCTTCTTCCGTGTCGACCACCCACTGGTTTGTGCAACTAAAACTGCATCCCCTTCTTACTAAGCTAGTATGTACAGCCATTTGCCCATATAAGCACAATCCTAATTCGATTCTGAGATCTGATGAGATTGGGGGCATATCCAGGTTAGTTAGTCAGACACAAGCTAGCACAAGTCAATTACACATTTCCTAATGTGTAAGCTTGTTCATAAGCACTGGTCTCTTATGCACCACCTAAAGTGTTTTTCTATTAAGCTGTCTAGATTTCAGGAGTTCTAAGGTTGCAAAGTGATATATGTATTTACGTGCAACAACATCCTTCTCTGACAAATGGCCATTGGCTGAAATTAAACCTATGATCTATATTTCCTCTCTAGGGCAGTATCATTGTTAAATGTGGTGAATTTTGGCAGTTTGTGCTTGTGCACCACTGACAATGCAGTATTGCATTTTTTTACAATAGTTGCTTTCGGCACAGTTGGTAATTACTTGGAACTTTCGTAGATGCCATGTACCACAGTAAAATAACATTGATATATATACTGTATAAAACATCCTCGGAATATAAAAATGTTGTAATACTTTAATTTTATACGGAGACAATGTGTTGCTGGACAATGGATTAATGAGTAATTTTGACCTTAAATCATTTACAGATGCTTAAATACTTTGAAGCCTTTGAGCTCTTCTTTGAAGAAAACCTTCCAAGGTTATTCAGCCACTTCAAGACCAGCAACTTGACACCTGACTTGTACTTGATTGACTGGTATGTAAAAAATAAATCTTTCATTGTGGTGGGTTGATCAGCAACGTTTGTGTTCGTGGCAGTGTTGGTGAGCCAGTTGACACCTTCAGGAGTTAGAAGCCTGTTGAATATCTGATATGCTGCTAGTGAATAATTGAAACGAGCACATGGTTCATGATGAGTGAGACATGACCGCAGTCAGTGTGGGGCTATGCTTATGTTTTCATCAGTGTAGGATATAGCCACATTTGCCATGCGATGTTCGGATGTAATTCAGTACAGATGATTGTTTGAGAGCAAAATTTTCACCGCTAGGTTTTAATGAAAAAAACACCATGACACAAAACAAAGTTAATTGTAAATTGACATTTTAGGCAATCACTGTATTATGCAATTTATGTACCTTTTTTCGTTATTGATTTCCACTACTTGTAGCATAACAAAGCCAATTGCATATGGCTCAGGTGTATATGCTCTGTTTTGGCAGGATTTTTACGCTGTACAGCAAGGCCCTGCCTCTGGACGTGGCATGTCGAGTTTGGGATGTTTTTTGCCGCGATGGGGAAGAGTTTCTTTTCCGCACAGCACTGGGCATACTCCGTCTGTACCAGGATGTGCTACTCAGCACAGACTTCCTGCAGGGGGCTCAGTTTCTGACTCGCCTGCCAGACAACATTGCCGCCCAGCCACTGTTTGCTGCCATTGGCACCATCAACATGCAAAATAAGCATGGCAAGTGGAGTCAGGTAATGCCTTGGGCCACAAACATTAAATCTCCAGTTCTTACAATGTCATGATGAAAAGAATGCCTGATGAGTGTTCCGATATCCATTCTAACAGGTTGTGTTGCCTGTTTTCCAGGTTTTTTCTGCACTTCAAAAGGACAGACGAGATTCGGAGAAAAGTGGAAGCCCTTGAGGAGGCAGTCGTTGGCTCCATTTGTGCTTCAGAAATATTTAATGTGAACTGTGTGTAGAAGACCTCACATTTCTTTAACACTAAATGCACTTGGCAGTGTTTATTGGGACCATTTACATTCTGAAAACTAGTTTGAAAGCATGTTGTATCATTGCTGCAGTGTTTGGAGTTTGGCTACATACGAATATGAATGGAACTGAGTGGGGTAATATTGCTTCTCCTTGCTGTATTGCATCTCTGGAATCTGAGCAGAACTGGCAACTGAAAAAGTATCTGCAGTTTATTTCCTAGGCATTGGCTAGTGGCAGGTCAAGGCGATGCAGGCTACATAAGTGCATACGTACGTTTGTAAATGTGGAAAGACATTTAGCCACACTTGTATTCCCATTTTATACAATCTATGGACGTTTTTGAACTGCTATTTGAAAGTAAGTGCATACAATAGTTCTCCACACTAATGATCAGTGTTACTGAATATACAATACATATGGTGTCTTTTCTGCTATAGGACCAGAACATAATGTTGTGATGCAGCATTGCACAAAGCTTGCCTCTGTATTCGCTTGGTGATATTACCTTGCAATACATCAAGTAAATAAGCAGTTCTTTGAAACAAAGCTAGAGGTAGATCTGGTCTAAGTGGTTTGTTGTGCTGTGTGTGTGATTTGTCAAATGATGCGCTTAATGTAAAACGTGCTTACATGAAACAATGCAAATATGTACTAGCCTGATGGGCATGTGTTATTTGTACCATAGATCGACTGCAACATCGTATTTGGTTCCACTTTATGCTCAAGCGTTGTAAAATAAAGTAAGGAACGCAGCACCTTGCATAATAAATAGCAAATTGTTTTTTTTCACTTTACACAATCCAGTGGAAATTATGTATGGAGAACATGAAATGGAAAGTTTTTTTTGTAGCCAAAAAGCCTGCGTCTTTTCCAACCATCCTTAATCATACGCAAACGCATTGCGAGTAACTTTATGGAATGAGTGCAATGCTATTAACGTGGTGTATTGAAGCTATTTTTCGAGGGCATATACCACTTTTTCTCTTTAAGATGTTACCTTAATTACTACGAAAGACACTTTCTGGCTGGTTCAGGTACTGTCCTGTTTGTTATTGCCGTCTTAGCAGATGGCCTGCAGAATTTAGCAGTACATTGTAAAAAAATAATTAAAGCTGTCTACCAGATTCCGTTTTTGTACAAAAACATTGTTTCATTTTGCTCCGTTCAAGGATTGACGTAATCGCGTATCGAGCGAAACCCTTAGCTATTAGTACCGCTTCTTAAAATGCAGCTGTAGTTACTCTTTATGAATCGAAATTGTATTGAAAACCTGGATAATTGGACTTCACATGTGACCTAGTTAAGTAAATGCTAACATTTGACCACGAATCAAGATCCCCCTTTAGGGCTGAGTATACACATGGTTTGAGCGTAATAAAATATGTGATGAGTGTACAAGTGCAAATTTGAAATGTGCAAATGTACGTGAAGATTGACGATTGTCAAGAAAAAAATGCACTTAGTTCAATGGACTTGACATTAAAAAAAAATTTTGGCGAGTCGTACATCTTGAAGCCTGCAGCAGCAATCTCGTTGGAAATATTTATATTTACATTATCAATGGTTAGATTTTGACTTAAGGATTTCGTGACTGCAGGAATTCATATTCTTTTGGGTCTTTCGGTAAAGTCACGTAGAAAGGTTCAAATTAATAAAAAAAAACTACGATGTTTAGATCACAACACAAGAGATCGTCATCAAGAGGAAAAGAGGGGGAAAGCTGCTTTCCTCTTTATTTTTATTAATTTGAACCTATCTACGTCACTTTACCGAAAGACCCAAAGAATGGTTACATTATTTCCATTGTGTAAAATGTCAATTACTGTTTTGACGAAGCACACAATCATTCTCTAACCACCTGCCGCAATTATCAGCATCACAGTGTTATGTCTCAATGTTAAAACATTAAAGTCGATGTGAATGCTGCCTTGAACAGAATGGACACTTGATGTAAATAGGGTTATTTGCCAGCAATGTATGCTACCTGTTTTTATCAAGGATTAACTACAACGCTAAAGGCTGAGCCTAATCTGGTTAAGTGATGTACCTTTTACATACTGGTGGATGATACTCTTTAAAGGTAAAGCGAGTTTCCTGATGAACTATTATTGATGAACTGTAAATTTTAGTCTCTGTTACCGTCTTTTGAAAGCTTTGTCGTGTGCATTTTACGTCATTCGTGTCGAATACATTTGTATATAATAAAACAGACATTCGTATTATGCGGTTGCATTTTTCCAAGCAAGGCTACACTCTGTACCGTATATGACGGAGTGCACAGTGTAAGGAGTCTATTAGTCCTTTGAGGTCCTTACTGGGAAAATGTACGATTGTAATACGGTACAGCATATAAAGGGTATATATTGTAAGAACTCGACGGCAAATTAATTCACTCATACTTCGAGAGGAATTTGTAGATTTACCTATTGATTTTAAGGATCGATTACATACAAGTGCAGCATTTAATTTGTGGCACTTGCAGTAATTGTCACGACCAACAAATATTTAACTTTAAATCTACAAACAAATACAATACTTTAGAAAACCACAAGTGTAACTTGTAAATATTGTTCAACAAAAATAAACTTTAAAATTTGTTGCTGGACGTTGCGTACTTGTGTTTGCATGTAATACAGAAGTACGTACATTAATGCAATGCATGAACTCCGCTTCGTAAATAAAAGTAAAATATAAATCTTCGTTGTCCTGAAGTTTACGTCAGGTGGCCAAATACGGTCCTTAAGCAAAATGCAACAACACGTGCTTTCGTCCCTTTAAAAGCGGAACTCAATTGACGATGACGCGGTATTTCAGACCCGAACTCGTCCGCTCGTCACGTGATGCAATTTTAAATTCCGGCCAAAAAAATAAAAGGACGTGACGTCATTTAAGTCATGGCCGCCATCTTACGTATGGCTGGAACGAAGTGGCGTGTCGACATCGCCATCTTGCGTAGGGGGGGGGAACGAAGTGGCGAGAGTCAACACCGCCATCTTACGTAGGGGGGAAACGAAGTAGCGTGAGTCAACCGCCATTTTACGTAGGGGGAACGAAGTGGCGAGAGTCGACACCGCCATCTTGCGTAGGTAGGGGGAACGAAGTGGCGTGAGTCGACACCGCCATCTTGCGTAGGGGGGGAACGATGTAGCATGAGTCAACACCGCCATCTTGCGTAGGGAGGAAATGAAGTAGCGTGAGTCAACACCGCCATCTTATGTAGGGGAAAACCAAGTGGCGTGAGTCGACACCGCCATCTTGCGTAGGGGGGACGAAGCGGCGTGAGTTGTCAACACCGCCATCTTTCGTAGGAAAAGGAAATAAAAGGCTAAAAACTGCGCAGTACCTCTCGCGAAATTCACGTAACAAGAGCAGAAATGTGCATCGTCAAGTTTACGTAAGTTGATTTGAGACATCATACTGACATTTAGTAAACGTGTGTTTGAGTTGAACTAAAAGCTGCTGAAATTGTGCACTGTATGGAGTTTGAATGCTCTCCCCTGTTCTGCATGGGTTTCCTCAGTCTTGCCCGGGTTCCTCCCGTTGCTAAAAACGAGCTGAGCTGGTACTGTTACTGGCCAAACGTCGCAAATGCTGAAACATTACCCGCAAATTACTCAACCGTTGATTACACTCGGCACAAACATCGTCCCCCCTACCCCCTCTACTGGCAGGTCCACTTCTATCAGCCACGCGAAAGAAGAGAAAAAAAATAAGAAGAAAAAAATAAAAGAGGGACGGACTGAATCGCCATCGTGGGTGACGAAGCCCGCCCTGCAACCCGTTGCCGCGGCAACAGCTGGGGGGAGGGGGGAGGGGCTTCTTTATGACGTCACAAAGCTGTGCGTCACGTGGCCACGTTCCCCCGAGTAATATGGCCGCGGTGTGATCATCGCTCCCGCGTCGTCCCCCACCGATCGCAGCCCCACACATCACACAGGACACACACACACAGGGCACAGACGCACACACAGGGCACAGACACACACACAGGACACACAGACAACACGTGCGGGCCGCCCTTGACTCGTAGCGGCGGCGGTCGTGTCGCTCCGTGCGAGTTGTTAAGCCAACAGCACCAACAGCGGAGCTTCCCATCACAGCCACACCACCATCATCGTCCCCACCACCACCACCATCGTCGTCGTCGCGTGTGGTTGTGGTTCTGCGTTGTCGCGTCGCCGAGAGGCGTCGGGGAGAAGTTTGCGATGACGGGCCGCGGCACGGCGAGCCGCTTCCTGCAGGCGGTGCTGCACAATGGCGTGGGCCGATTCGTGTGTCAGCTGCAGCGGCTGACCCTCGTGCTCAGCAAGGAGTCGCACTCCAGCAGGGACATGCGGTGAGCGAGAAGGAGATGTTAAGAGAGGTGTAAGAGAGGAGAAGGGGCTTCTATTAGGTGGGTATTTCGGTAAAGTCACGTAGGTGGGGAAAAAATAATGAAGTGAATAAAAATATTTTGATCATTTTATTCACTTTATTTGTATTATTGTTTTTCTATCTACGTGAATAAATTGATAAAAAGATGTTTTATTTGTATTCACTTTTTATTTTTTTATCTACGTGACTTTACCGAAAGAACCAAAAAATATTAATACAAATAAAGTGAATAAAATTATTTAAAAAGCATAAAAAGAAAAATGTTTTTTTATCATGTTATTCACTTTATTTGTATTATTATTTTTCTATCTACATGAATAAAATGATAAAAAGATGTTTATCATTTCCATTCACTTTATTTTTATAAATTTTCTATCTACGTGACTATGCCGAAAAAAAACAAAAAAAGAATAATACAAATAAAGTGAATACAATGATAAAAAAGCATTTTTATTATTTTTTATTCACTTTATTTGTATTATTATTTAAATTGTATTTTAAAAATAAAAAAAAGTTTTTTTAATTATTTGTATTCACTTTATTTGTATTATTATTGTTTTTATATCTACGTGACTTTACCGAAAGAACCGAAGAAGGTTTTGAGAAGGGGTTTAGGAGATTCAAGGTGCTGGTTTTTGACATGCGTCCACACGACACATGTTCACTCCACTGCTGGATGAAGGCCTCTCCAAGCCTTCACAACGTTGTCCCTCATTAGTGCCATACTACTGGCGTAATACAATCAATATTAATCCCGTTGTATATCATTGCCATCAACATATCACCATCACCACCCACCACAACCAATCAGGGCCGCTAATCAGCATCAACACCAAAGCTGTCAACGTAAATCACCACAATCACTTCACCACCATAGTCAGGAATGCAGTTCGTGCCCTCTGCTACAAACACTAGCTCAGTAGCAAGCATTTTATAGTTACAGGTTAGAACCTACCGAGATATTTCGGGTTATCATACACCTATCATCATATCACCACCAGAATGTTGAGAAGGTCATAAGTTCAGCAGATGTTTCGCTTAAGCAGGACACGTTTCTACATAAACAACGTTGGAAACACAGAGATGAACTGATGATGGACGCTTGTGTTGCGCCCGAAACGTCGTTATTTATTTTCTACCTACGTGACTTTACGAAAGAATCAAAGAGTATGGATTCCTGCAGTCACGAAAGCTTCAAATCAAGAATAAACTTGAGTTCTTCATTGATAGGGATTTGGGGCAGCACTCACGACTTGCTGTACAGGTCAAAGTTGAGAGAGAGAAGGGAGAGTGTGGCTTATATCTTTGTCCTGTATCCACATTGATCTAGGATCGGTATTCAACCGATGTTGGTCAGAATCAGAATATTAATACTGGAGGAATCCGATGAGCTATAAAGATTTTTGTTCACAGGTTGAAAAGTAAATGGTTTTAGCTCTGTTATTCGTCATTGGAAATAGCATTTATTTTTCTGGATATGAAACAATTTATGGAGTTATTAGACGCCGGGTGTCGCTGTTACCATCCGATTGAGTATAAACCTCAGAGGGATTGTGGTTGTCCTCGGCTGTTATTCACTCATGTCTCGTGATTCAGTAACAAGGATTGACGACACTTTTTTCAATCGAATTATAACACATCCAGGCGTCACATTGGCTTAAAAGTATCCTTCATTCGTCCGGGTACAGAGAAACATCTGTGCGCTCTTGAAGAGCCTTATGAACACGAGTTAAAAAATATAAAAACTGCATTGTGTTTTTTCCCGATTAATCCGTGTTGTATCCACTCTTCCTATAATTATCAGAAAATACTCTTATCCCAGTTACATTATTTACGTTATCAATGCATATACGTGGGTAATATAAATCAGGAAGTGGTGGGAAATGCGTATTAGTATCTACTGCTTGTTGTGGATAAGAGCAGTGTTCAACTTCATGTTGGACAGGAACTTGGGCTGTAAATAATTGGATACGAATCGTTTGTGTTGTATTCACCTGCAGGGATTTTGTGGAAAACCATTTGGTTGACTTTGCAAGGCAGAACAAGGCGACTGTCATCTACGTTGTACCAAGAAAAGATTCAAAACCAAGGCTTATTGCAGAGTACTGTGAGTATAATTACTTTGTGGAACATCTTTGAACAAAAACACACGAGTATTGTATTATACAAGTGGAGCATTGTTTAATCCCCGTCACATGCTTTAATGACATTCTGTTACAGTGAATGGCACTGTTCGAGATGTTTCGGTGGAACGCAAGACATCAGAGGAGATCCTATCGCAAGTGAAGCTCTTGAGCACTCAGTCAGGGCTGGACATTGTGCGGATCCGCAAACCGTTCCACACCGACTACCCCAGCATTCAAGGCATGTGGCAGCCCTTCACCAACAAGCGACCGACCATTAATATCGAGATGCAGAAGAAGATAGCTGCTTGCGTTGAGACGAGCAAAGGAGACACCAGCATATCCTGATCCTATACATAATATATTAAACTTGATTGAACACATCTACGAAATGAATATTGTTTTTTATGTTACACGATGGGTTTTCTCAATAAACACATTTGGTTAAACGACATGAAAACAATAGGTATTGAATATTTGAAAATGTAACGAAACTTTATTCTCGTGGTGTTAATAAAAGTCACGTTGGTAAGAAAAACATTTCCTACTTGATTCAAGGGCTCTTGCAACTCATCTGCTGTGCCGTTGTTGACACGCATTTCCTTCCACCCGATCTTGCATTGCGTAGCATTGTTTTCTGAGAAATACTTTTGTTTGTATCAACATGGAATGGCCCTGTATCTAAAACAAATAAGCATTGTCACTTTGATCTATTTGCAATGCTTTTGAATTGCCAAGTTCCCCATGCTCACAGAGGCCGTTGCAGCAAGTGGCAAGAAGGCTTTAGACACGTAGCACTGGTATTTGTCATCAGCATGCACATATTTAAGAGCGCCGTAACAAATTCTACATTCATAAGTCACATGGCAATAATAGGTACTATTTTTGTGGTAAAATGAATATGCAATCCATCAACCTTCATTTTCAATGAGGGTATTGTAAGGTTATCGTCCCGCCTTGCACCCGAAATGTAAAGCAACACCCAGCAGAGGGCAGCAATGCATATGATGTATGCATTGACAATTTTAATTTGCCACGAGGCTAGAAATATGCGCAAAGAAGCTTAAGTATGCAATACTGTACGTTTCAAAAACAACCTGAGATTTTGGGATCATTAGTGGATATAAATCTATTGTTTATAAGATGGTATTTCAATGCATGTATTCATTGTCTTAAGACTTTCGATCCATGCACCTCATGGCATGCGTGGGAATACGGGTATGTTTTATTTTTTACTAAATGTATACAGATAATACACTTACATTTAGGCATTCGGAACAAACAAGTCTGTATGAGCGTAAGAATTAGACCAAAAATAATGAATTCTTGTTTCACAGGTCTGAATCATGGCAATTGAATCATCAAATTGCCAGAGGCGATTTGAGACTGACCTTTGGGTACAAAGGTCAAATTTCCTTTTGGAAATACATTTACCATATTTAGTGCAACTTAATATATTTTTTTTAACAGATGTTCCGTAACCACAGAAATTGTGAAATTATCTGATCGTTTCCATACATATTTAAGTCAATGGAAAATCTTACTGAGGTAATTTACCAACCATTTATGTGCAACTTTAGTCACCTGCAAACTTTTCTGTACAAAGCACCCCAGCAACAGGGCTGCTTCGTTTTCACTTAACTAAATAAACCCACCAAAGCCATACAATGTGACAATTTGCAATGTCCTGGACAGGTCTCACGGTGGCTCACAAAGGGAACAATACTGGGCATGCTGAGAATTAATGGCCCGTTTCTGATAATGCCGCCTGCACTGTGTTTTGAAATGTTTCTTTTAAACAGAAAGGGAAAGGTGACGCAAATGTAACCATCTCGTATTTGCCGACCACGCTCAGCTGGGTCTGCACTGAAAGATAACGCGCTCGTCTCCCATTCAATTTCCATGCCACTCGCCAGGTGTGTGCCACCCAATCTGGCTGGTCAGCAGTTCCTCGTGAGTTTAGTCGGGCGGTGGTCGACTGCTGCAAAGTAAAGGAAGTTCATAAAATTTTAGACACTCGCTGATGATTTGATTCATTCTTCCGATCTGCTGCTCCGCAAGGCGCCTTTTACCTGTAAGCCCGCTTGCTTAAGCAGGACACAAGTCAATAACATATATGGGATTAGATTAGTGTGGGGCGTATTATTTAAGGAAGTTAAATAAATATTACCTTCATTTTTAAAGTATACCATTGAGGTACCTTTCCCTATTAACATTGGTAAGGGGTTTTAGCCAAAGGTTTACAAATTAAACCAGGCATTGGCTATTCATGCATCACAATGGATTACACTTGCATGTGCTTGTACGATATTTAAGCTTTGAGGTCGGGGAAAAAAAGAGTGAGAGATAAGCAAAGGACTACAGAGAAAATGGTTAAATCATCCATAATGCATTATTCCACGAACAGCCTGAAAGCATTAAGAGAGCTGTCACAGTACATCACGTTAGTCCATGCCTATTTGTGATTTAGCTTTTCATGAAGTGCTTAAAATAATAAAATGTTAGTCTTAGTACTCCACAGAAAGCATCACATTTCAGTCGTACAGAACCATGTTTATCCTATACATTTAAATCACAATTCAATGCCCAATATTTGCAGAACGTGTTTTTGTGTAAGTACAGTTTTACCAGTATTTTTTAATGTTCCCTTTTAATGGGTGAGTGATTACGGATGGACTGTATTTACTAGTGTTTGTTGAGCATATTTTAGCATTTTCATCACAGATCATAATAAATTACTGCTAAGAGTGAGGTGACTGGGTGGTTCAGGGGTCAGAACTGTCAACATAGCCAAAATACTGGGTTCAATCCAAGGAGATCCCAGATTTAAAAATGTAGTGAGTTAATGTTCTCAGCACAGCCACCAATGACAACAAAACAAGCACATTTTAAATTAGATTTTTTAAGTTGGCTAAAAAAAGATAGCAGGGGCACAGATAAAAGTACAGCTCCCGTAGAGTGGATAAGAGGTCCCTTTAAGGGATCCCAGTAGTTATGTGATACCAACTTCTATGGGTCATTGTCTAACAGAGGGTGATGCACTGTTTCGTGAGAGTTCCGTACGGACTTCATCTCATGACATCATGTCAATAGCACAATCGGATTAATTGCTGGGGGGGGAAACAGACTTATAAACAAATGGAGCAAATGGCCATTGTGGCTATAACCCACAGCACTTGATCATGTTCCAACAGCTTGTAATGCTAACTACTCTGGCACGTGTCATGACGGATACTGCAAAATCCGACCATGTCCGTCCAGTGCTCGCCGAGCTGCATTGGCTTCCAGTTGCCGAACGAATGCATAAGGTTTTACTCATGACACGCAAAGTGCTTGCCACACATGAACCACAATATCTTGCTGATCTCGTCAAGGAGAATAAATCATCACGCGAACCCCGGTCATCCTCCCAGCGTCTTATGGCTCGCCATCGAACAAAGACTGTCACAACATGGCGCGCTTTCACATGCGCTCCTGTGGCCGTCTGGAACACCCTTCCGATATTGAGAATCCACTGGAGCTCTTCCCTGCACTTTTGATTAGAACGGTTGGTTACGTACGGTGCGAGAAAAGTTCAACATACATACAAACTGCCCCCACAGCAAAATATAGTAAAAAAAACTTCAAATCTAGATAGTAAATACTGTAGTAATGAGAATAGGTTTTCCACTTTTTTCTGGCAACAAACAGGTGTTAAAATCTTGATTTAAAGCTTTCGTGACTGCAGGGATTAATATTCTTATTTTAGAATTTCCCTTCTACGTGACTTTACCAAAAGAACCAAGAATATAGGTGTTAAGATGTTAAAACACCAAACTGAAACCTTTTACAAGGAATCATGTCTGCATTAACCACAATACTTGTGGTCAGAATGCAAAGAAAAAATTTACTCAGATAATATATGCATTGTCCTTGAAACTGATTTATCCACACGATTCCTTGTAAAAGGTTTCAGTTTGGTGTTTTAACATCTTAACTGTTTTGTTGCCAGAAAAAAGGGGAAAAACCTATTCTCATATTTTAGTACTGGCAAAGGAGGTCCCATGATGTTGCTGCTAACCCCGAGCTCTCATTACTCTGATAGTGTATTGTATTTGTGCTGGCCGCGTTTTGGCGTCCTCTGGTCTAACACTGTTTTGAGACAAGGCTCAAAAGAAAGGCGTCTCTGGAGTGGACCAATCAGTTTCAAAGACAATGCATATATTATGAGTGTGTTTTTTTTTTGCATTCTGACCACAAGTATTGTGGTTAATGTAGACATGATTCCTTGTAAAAGGTTTAAGTTTGGTGTTTTAACATCTTAACACCTGTTATGTTGCAAAAAAAGGGGAAAACCTATTCTCATATTTTGGTACTGGAAAATGAGGTCCCATGATACTATAGCAATGTGAACAAGAGAGGTGCACTGTGGACATTTACCTATGCAACATGATTCACGCTGCCTACTATTCTTTAGAACTGCTTTTTGTGATTTGTTGTTTTGTCGTTCCCTCGCACCTCCCATTAAGCACGGTTGGCATCGTATGGTGCGAAAGAAGTCAAACATACGCCTTTAGACGTTTTTTTCTTACCACTTATATCCCGAATATGCTTCTGACGTCATAGCATGAGATTAAAAAAAACTTTGTAAGAGAATGGCTCATGGAAGCAGATCCATTTCAGATCCCTTCAAGTGACCTCTGGTCCGCAACAGTCATGGGTGGCACTCTCCCACCCGTGCTGCCACTAACAGCAATGTTCTTCGCATGATAGTAAAACCAACATTTTTCATTCTCAAGGCTGGGATTTTTCCGCATTCACTGTATAACCAAATTTAAGTGAGCATTTTACTAGTAGGAACCTCCTGGTTACACCAGCCCACAGGGGATTATTGTGTCCGTCCGTCGTGCATCCAAAAATGGGAGGGGTGGGGCTGGGTGGAGAGGGGAGGGTGGGGAGGATGGGGAGGGGCTGGGTGGGGAGGGCTGGGTGGGGCTGGGTGGGGGGTGGGAGGGGTGGGCTGGGTGGGGCTGGGTGGGGAGGGGAGGGTGGGAGGATGGGGAGGGGCTGGGTGGGGAGGGTGGCTGGGTGGGGAGGGTGGGAGGGGTGGGGCTGGGTGGGGAGGGGAGGGGCTGGTCACCCCGTGGTGCCCTTATAAAACTCAACGTTTAACCTACTCACGCCGGCTTGTGCACGCCCTCACAGTCGGACATATTGGCGGAATACACCACGCCGCCGTTGACCCTGGCCATTGACCGAGCAACCCAACGTTCCTACCAGCTCCCTCCGCAGGAATGTGTTTACGTGCAATAATTGCTTACCAGGCTGACGCCATCAACTCACTACGCTCGACAATTCGGATTAATCACGGGCAGCCGTTAAGATTTCAATCTCAGGGATCTGTGGGACCAGATGTGTGCATTGACCTGGCCACCAGGTGGCTCACTCAAAGGTTGCCTGAACTCTCGTACATGTAAGGGAATAGTTTTGGACGACATGTTGCCAAGTCTATTCACCGAAATCAGTTGCACGAGTACGTACTCTCAAGCAGTTTACCTAGATAATGTAAATGTTCTGTAGTGTTTGATCGAATGGATATCCTACGCGCAATTCTGTAAAATATTTGCGTCATCTCCGGGTACTCAGTGCTTTATTTCAGCTTTAAACGGAAGAGGTGCAGCCCTCCCCAATGGTTTTCTCGAGCCATTGCTGGTGGAAGGACCTTGACTCAAAGCAAGCTCAAGAGCGGTGTTCATGTGTGGCGTTCCTCACACGGATGATGTCCTATCGGCAAAAGTGCCCCCCCCCCCTCTGCAAATGAGTGAAGAACACTGCCTCTAGAGCCTCTCTGGAGGGTATTTGACCTATTCTTCCACACCAGCCAGACATATTGGAAGAGCAGGGAGTACCCACACTTTATCCCACCACAATTGACCTGCCGATCGACTTAGGGATACAGTACTCATTTATGCTGTTGGATAGACAGAGGCGAGTAGAATTAAGAAACTTGCACCATTGTTTCAAATCTGCAACGGGAGATCCAACTGGAAAGCATTGTCGAGTGTGCTAACCGTATACCCCATAACAGCATCCTCAGCTGTTTACCCTGTGATACATTAATTTGAGTTAACAGCAGCTATTCTGCCTCCTAAAAAGCTCAGCTTCTACCGCTGAAGCAACGTTGCAAGCTGGATGAACACTATCTGGCAGACACACAGGAAACTGCTCTGTTTACTTTATTCTTGGCGTTTGTTGAAGCTGGAAAGGGGAAAAAAATGGGTTGTGCACACAGGCACATGAAGGAAGATGCTGTCTACAGGCAATATTGGAGCAAAACAAATCTGAACGATGCGATAAAACGGGAGGATATTTTGTGAAAACAAATTTGAAATGGTTTCCCAATTGGCAACGCTGTTTGGTAATGAAATTTCCCCCAGCTTCAACCAGTGTTGAAATGACAAGGCTAAACATGCCAAAATAAATGTAAACATATCGTGTACCAGCAAAACGTCCCTCTTTAAAAAAAAATCTTTCAGCTAAACGTATGAAATTATTTTTGAGATGATTGAAAAACACTTAAATCTAATAACATATTTATCAAAATATGGAGGTGGCAAGCCACCATTTTCTATAACCACCGTGTTATGCAATGTATTGTTTACATTCATGCACAGCATATTTGTTAATTCACTTCTGGATGAGGGCCTCCCCATGCTACACAGGTCGTGGTACATGTGATTGAACAGAACTCTTATCCACAGATATGGGGGACCATTATCGGGGATCCAATTCCTGATTTTACGCTTATCCACGGGGTAATTTTCTTCACGGATAACCCCACGAATAGGAAGAACTTGCTATGCAACTCCTTTTATCATGGAAAGAAATCGAGTATTTGGAAGCCGCTTCACTATGTATTCAGGAAAATGGGTAACAGGAATAGGGCTGCATATGACGCAAGTTTTTTGCGGATGAGAGTTCTCATGTACTGTATAACATGAACCATTGGTCTGGAGGTTTCCAAGAATAGGAATATATACATTTCATAATATATCACAGCAATTCATATTTAATAATTGTATGAATTTAAGTGGCAATACTTTGCTTACAATAGACCTCTCTCAAGATGATATATTTTTAATGTAACAAATAAAATTCATACTTAGGTTTTTTTATTTCTATTATTATTTCTATTATTTATTTTTACCTACGTGACTTTACCGAAAAAACCTAAGAGTATGAATCCTTGCTGTTACGAAAGCTTCAAATCTAGAATGAAAATTCAGTTTAACATGAAGGCAGAAACGAATTACACGGACAAGGTAAAGTGTAGCCCTGAAATGTATTTCTCATGCCACTGCTGGTTGAACTTCCACTAGCAGGAGCTCCAGAGAACCCCTCAATAGGGTATTTGACCTTCTCTTTCACGCTGGCCATGCATCTTTGAAGAGTTGTGAGTACCCATACTTTACTCCACCAACACAACTTACTGCTCAACAGCAGTCTCCATTTATACTGGTAGGAACCTCCTTGTTACACCAGCCCACAGGGGATTACTTGTGTCCGTCCGTACGTCGTGAAGGGAGGGGCTGGGTGGGAGGGAGGGGCTGGGTGAAGAGGGAAGGGTGGGGCTGGGTGGGGAGGGGAGGGTGGAGAGGGGCTGAGTGGGGAGGGTGGGGCTGGGTGGGGAGGGGCTGGTCATCCCGTGGTGCCCTTATAAAACTCAACGTTTAACCTACTCACGCCGGCTTGTGCCCGCCCAAAGTCA